CATAAATGCACACCCTCCATAAATGCACGCTCACAAGAAATAGCACTATGTTCCCGAGGGGGGTGCACTTATAGAGGATTCACTGTAATTTTATTGGATTATCAATTATGTGAAACAAAAATATTGATCAACCAATCACAAGATTTTTAACTATGGTCTGATTTGTACATTTGGGATGTACAAAGTAATTTGGGATTTGGGATTCTTGATTTTTTAATTTGAGCAACACCTATAGTTTTGTTGTAGAAAGACCTTTTATAGATGGGGAGTAAAATGTAGTCATTTTTTTGGGAATAATATATTTTTTAGTGGTATATATAAAGAATAAAATTAATTCTTTAAAATTTATGATAAGTTTTTTGAATTGTTGAAATAATAAATAATAAAAAGTGAGATTGTGTGTGACATGGCATAATGTCATGTGACCAATGTATTTAAATTTTATGTGCTCAAGTAACAATCAACCTGAATTATTACTATTAGAAATTCAGTCATCATCATCATTTTATCTTCTTCCATCATTTTATTTCTCCATTTTATAATTACCATAAATATTAACTTATGCATTTTGTGGAAATTCCTTGCTTGATCTTGTATAATCAAATGTGGTTTTGTATTTTTGCAGGCTCATCTCACATCCACATATGCTACAATATTTATCCAACCAATTCTTCATAACAGCATTCAAGAGAATATCTATCATCCATTAGCAAGCAAGCTAGTCCTTCTCGATTCTTGAATACCATTTTAGCTTGCCAATAAACTCAAACAGAAGAGTCTGAGTATTCTTCAGTTCAGGATTGATCCCAAAAGAAGTTAATTTGTTTCTTAAGAAGAGATTTGCTAATTGGGAAATGCTAAAAGAGTTTTTGATTTGAGAAGTATAAAGTGACAATGGATACATTGTTAGGATTGAAAGCTAAAGATCTGCACAAAGTAGGATTACCATTTCTGGTTGCAGAAGAGCCCAAGAACACCATTAAACGGTTAAAAAAAAACCATTTACATCCGATTCTATGATAGTGAGGGCGAACCATTGGAAAAGTTTGAAGAATATGCGATGCATAACGAGGATGACCTTTGTAATTTTTTGAAAAGTGTTGACGGAAAGGGATTAGAATTTATTAATCATAACAATGAAATCCCAAAGGTCATCATTTCTCTAAAATACATCCAATCTAATCAATATTACCGAACCAATGCTTCTCACCTCAAAAAGGAAGTTACCTGGTCGAAAGTCAAAGATCAAGCAATGGAAGAAGGAACTTTATTGGCCATACAGAATGCTCTCACCGAAAAGATCAAAGCGCCTATAAAAGTTTATTCTAATCGTGTAATGAATAATCAGGAAGATAAACCACTGATGGAGGGGGTGGAATTTTAATTTATGGTTGTAAGGTATTTTTATGTGAAGCAAAACATAACATGACGTTTGTAAATATAAAGGAATTTCATTTGATAAATCTCCTGTGGATTTGTTAGACAAGTTCACTAATAAATCTGGCATTTTCAAAACATATAGTTAATTTCATCGATCGATTAAAGGAACTCCCGAAGAAACAGCAGGTCATGAATTCAAACGATTGTTGGGAGGCAACATATTGGGTTGTTTGTGGGGATAAATTAGGATTGATAGTAGTATTTCCAGGTGGTGGTCGTTATAAAGTATAAATACCCGAAAATTTGCATATTGGATCTTAGATCTGTACAATCTGATTAACTGGATATTATAAATTGCTAAATAAATATTATTATGCTATTATGAAAAAATAAAGAAAAAAGCTTTTGTTTTATCCCGAAGACTGCTCCCATATTTGTATGCGAGACGAGATATAATGTGTATACTGGTTCAAAATAACAAAAAACAAAATTTTATGAAACGTATTTGAAGAATAACTCTAAGGTTCTCTTAATACTTGAGTAGTAGTAATAAACTCTAGATTCCTTTTTTCAACGGAACAAATAATCTAACACTAATCGAATTTAATCAATTTTACAATTTACGAAAGAGATATAATAACAAATGTTTATAATGAAGATATTGTTTTAAAAATTATCGTCAGGAGGTAAACCGTGTCAACAACATAATTATCTGAAATTAAAAAAGTTTATTAATTATTGATTAAAGATTACCCTAATTTAGAAATTAATGCCTGGATATTTATATTTCACAAAAAATTTCTATATAAAAAGAAATTCTAACTCGTAAGTTTTAAGCTAAGGTCATTTAGCTATCAAAATTACGAATACTTTTCAACATCTTTTAATTTTATAATTTAAAATTTTAGTATTGATTTAAAAAATTTTTCTTGACTTTTAATTTTTACAATTTTTGGAATGAGAATAAGAACATTGTCTAACTTCATGAAAGAATATATATGCATAATTGATGGATATTTAAGTTATTTCTGACAAAAAAATGAATAAAAATGTTTGTTCCATTTTTTTTATAATTCTCCGTGTGTTGGCAATTCATCATCCTCGTCAGTTGTTGATTTTTCATCTGATGGATCTGACGAATATAATTTACTTGTAATTGGATTTACAATAGCTTCTATTTCTTCTATTTTTTCTTCGAAATCTTCTTTAGTGGCTGAACTTGAAAATTCATCAAACCAATCAATAGTTTTCTTAATCGCATCTTTGATTGTTTTCTTATCTTCTTCACTGATTTTCTTTCCGAGTTCACCATTATCATCTATTTGACTTTTAGTTGTATAAACATAATTTTCAAGTTTATTTCTTAATTCAATTCTTTCTTTTTGTATTTGATCTTCTTCAGCAAATTGCTCAGCTTCTTCGACCATTCTTTCGATCTCTTCTTTTGAAAGACGTCCTTTATCATTTGTAATTGTAATAGATTCTGATTTTCCTGTACCTTTGTCGGACGCAGAAACTTTCATGATACCATTGGCATCAATTTCGAAAGTGACTTCAATTTGAGGTACACCACGTGGTGCTGGCGGAATTCCTGTTAATTCAAATTTGCCAAGCAAGTTATTATCCTTGGTCAATGAACGTTCACCTTCAAACACTTGAATCAATACAACTGGTTGATTATCAACTGCAGTTGAGAAGATTTGTGATTTTTTGGTTGGAATGACAGTATTACGAGGAATCAATTTTGTCATAACTCCACCAGTTGTTTCAATCCCAAGAGTCAATGGGCAAACATCTACTAACAAGAGATCTTCAACATTTTCAGCACCAGAAAGAATACCGCCTTGGACAGCTGCACCATAAGCAACAGCTTCATCAGGATTGATATTTTTTGAGGCCTTTTTACCATCAAAGAATTCCTCAAGGAGTTGTTGAACTTTCGGAATACGTGTGGAACCCCCAACCAAAACTATATCATGAACAGCTGATTTTTCAATTTTTGCATCTTGCATTACTTGTTCAACAGGCTTTATTGTTTTACGGAAAAGATCATTATTCAATTCTTCAAATTTCGCACGGGTCAATGTTTCAGAGAAATCCTTGCCATCGAAGAAAGATTCAATCTCAATACGAGTTGACATTTGAGATGATAATGTACGTTTGGCTTTTTCAACTTCACGCTTTAATTTACCCATTGCTTTCAAATCTTTTGTGACGTCAACCTTATGTTTCTTTTTATATAGTTTGGCAAAATAATCAATAACCCTATTATCAAAATCTTCACCACCCAAATGAGTATCGCCAGCAGTAGCCAACACTTCAAATACACCATCATCAATTGACAATAATGAAACATCAAAAGTGCCACCACCAAGATCGTAAACAAGAATTTGACGTTCACCTTTTGATCTATCAAGTCCATACGCTATTGCAGCAGCTGTTGGTTCATTTACAATACGCATAACATTAAGTCCAGCTATAACGCCAGCATCTTTTGTTGCCTGACGTTGAGCATCATTGAAATAAGCTGGAACTGTGACAACAGCATGAGTGACTTTTTTACCCAAAAACGATTCAGCAATTTCTTTCATTTTAACTAATATCATAGCCGAAATTTCTTCAGGTGTAAAAAGTTTTTCTTCGCCTTTAACTTTAACAGAAATAGCAGGTTTATCTTCATTATCTACGACTTTGAATGGGAAATGTTTGAGATCATTCTGAACATCTTTATCAGAAAATCTTCTTCCTATTAAACGTTTTACATCAAATATGGTGTTTTCAGGATTATTTGCAGCTTGATTTTTAGCTGCATCACCAACTAAACGTTCGTCATCAGTAAAGGCTACATAAGAAGGTGTAATACGATTTCCTTGGTCATTGGCTAATATTTCAACTCTTCCGTTTAAGTGAACACCAACGCAAGAATATGTTGTTCCCAAATCAATTCCAATAACTAATGATTTAAATTTGAAAAAAATAATATATATAAATAATTCAACACGAAAAAATATACTTTATTTAATTATTTTTAAAAAAAAAAAAACGATAAATACCTGTACCAACGTCTGTTGTTGCTTCTTCAGCCGGTACTAATAATATAGGTATTATGACTAGTAATGAGCACAACAGTGATACTATTTTGAAGAAACTAGATTTCTTCATATTTATAAATATTAATTTTCTATCAACGTTTTATTTTTTGATAGTTTTTTTAGTTTGAAAAAAAAAAATTTTAAATTGAATATTTATATTTAGTGAAAAGATTGGTGTTGGCAAAAGTTGATTGGATGAGTTTAAGCGTGGCAATGCCACAAGGGCTAAACGCCACATTTGTGCTATTAATATAACTTCCATATATGGAACGTACTCAAAACCAGACGGTGAATATTCTTACTATTGTTAATATTAGTATCATCATCTTCTTCATTTCTTTATTCATTTCTTTATTCTTTTCTTTATTGATTCCTGGATTGCATCATTTTTTGTAGACCAATTAAAATTTTGAATATACATGGGGCATGCTAGGACCCTGCAAACTTCATAGATAGGCCAGTGACAAAAATTCCTGTTTGTTATATGATTTGACCCAGACCAAAATTAAGTTTAATATATAACATTTAATCATTGATTACTTTTACTTTTTAATAATTTAATATTAATGTCCACTCTTGTGATAAATATTTTCTTTAGATTCTCAACAGATAGATTTAGATATATTAGATGAATTTTAAATCTTGACATTTTATTATGTGTTATTTGCTATTTATTGGCTACTACAGTCGTAATATTAAATAACTTGAGAAATGAAATTATAGATAATTATTTATTTATATTTAATAGTGATATTATATAAAAGTAATAACTTCTCACAATCCTTTGGAATTTTTTATTTATTTAGAATTTGGATGCTAAATATGCACACTAAAATAGACATCATAAACATACATATTAATATTGTGTATTATGCTATTTCTTTTCAAAACAATGTTTTCATTTTTTTTATAGCATTAACAAGTTGAAGTGGTGTATTTCTCAATAAATTTGTTAATAATGTTATAAAATTAAATTTAATAATATTATTATATGTATCTGAATAATTTATAAAAATTAAATATAAAAAAAAACCCACATATAAATCATTTTCACTTTATTCAAATTATTGAATTATTCATTTTATTTGAATTACTCATTTTATTCATTTTACCATTTTATTTGAATAAACTCTCAATGTAACTCATTCATAATGATAACAAATAAAACAAATAAACCTTATTCAATAGAAACTCTACTCAAAGTAGTATATAGTTGTATACAGTATATTGATTTTAGTTTAGTTTCCAGATTTGGTGACTTTGTACTGCGTGCTTGCAATATCTATAGGCTGTAAATAATCACTGCATTATGATTTTACAGTTTGCAACTTTTAAGACTTTTTAGGGCATCATGCTGAGTTTATTTACATAATGCCAAATTGCTGTAATTAGGTGAATTTGGATACACAAATAAAAAATTTCTTTTAATGGAAATAAATAAAATTTTAGAGATGGAAGACACTTGGATGAAAATAAGGATCATGCTGATGCTTCTATTGACAAAAATAATGATGATGAATATTCAAAAAAAAGAAAAGGAGAAAATGGTGAATGCCAACCTACAATAGATATAACACTAATTGGGCATGGTATCAATCATGTGACCCAAGCTATTAACTGAGGATGGACTAGTGGCAATGAAACATTAGATGAATTGATTAAAAGTACACAACTTAAAGCAACTAAGTATCATTATAGCAATCATCTTCAATGGATTCCCCACTTTGCCGATCAAACCAAACCAGCTTACTGAGTGAGTCACGTGACTACCAATATAACTATGTTTTATGTAACGACTGCGCCACACATTGGGCAGTGTTACACTAAACATTATTCCTATAGTTGGCTCGGTCTAAAGACCTCCTAAGTTTTGCATAAATTTTAAAAGTATAGAAGTCACTTTCTGTCCTATC